TGTCAGATGGTCACATGTCTTACTAGGAAGACTACTTCATGGATGGTGTAGATGCCTGACCACTGCACTGTACACCTGAAGCTGAAGCTGAGTAATACTGAATGTCAACTATAATTTAATATATATGTATATATATATATATGTATATATAGTCACAGGATGTGGAGTACAGCATAGGGAATAGAGTCAATGGAATTATAACAGCTGTATATGATGTCAAGGGTAGTAGATTGGGGGAGGGGGGCTATCACTTTGTGAGGGGTGTAAATATCTAACTATTACACTGTTTTGTACACCTGAAACTAATAAAAAAATCATGAGATAATAAAATGATTATTTCTTTAAGCCATTACATGTTAGGATCATTTGTTATGCAGCAATAGTTAATAGTAACAGGAAGCCAGAAGGTGTGAACTAAGCTGGGCAGTGGCAGATGCTTTTTTTGTGTGTGTGTGGAGGGCAGTGTCACTGGCCCTCACATGTGGGATCCGAACCAGGGCCCTCTGGCGTCCCAAGCCAGTTCTTAACCATCGTGCCACTCGGGCGGCCCGAGATGCATTTTTTAATGGAGTCTGAAACTTTAAGAAAAACAGTCACTTGCCATGTGCACAAAGTGTAAGACCTTAAAGGGGACCTGCACAGGTGATGAGTCCTGAACTTTAAGCTCCACTGGGTGTCACTGGGCCTTGGAAGAGGTGAGGCTAAAAAGGAAGGGTTTTGCAGGCAGAGGGCCTCCATGGACAAAGAAGCAGGAATATGCATGCTCTGTTAGGTGGCTCTGAGAAGCTCAGTGTGGCTAGAAGGTGGGGATGGACAAGTGGGGAGTAAGGAGAAAAGCCACTGATGTGAAAGCTGCAGGGAGTAGAGGGCAGGGACAAGTTGAAAGAAACCTACCTGTACAGGTGGGAAGCTTTAAGCTTCATTGAAGTTTAAGCTTCATTGGTGTTACAATAAACCCAGGAACAGGCTGCCTAGGGTCCTGCCCCAGACGATGACCTTTACAAGGTGCAAAATATTAAGAGAATGAATTTTAAGAGGCTAGCCTTCTTGGCATGAACAGAAATGGGAGAAGCAGAACTCTAATGTCTGGAGTCTCAACACCCCCACCCCCAAACCTGTGGCCTCCACTAAGGTGCTCCCACTGATCATTTTTGGTGCTACCATCTCTCATGGCTCCTCTTCAGAGGGCTTCAGCCTTCCACCTAATGCATATCTCACCAGGCAGTGCTGTCAGTGGCTCCCAGAGTCCTCACACTGAAACCCAGGTCCAGTACCCTGGTGCTTAGGTTCTCCATGAGTTGATCTCTGACTTCCGTCCAACATCACAAGCTGTCCCCACCTCCCCCCTTTCCACCTGCTCCTCCAGAGGAACCCTTCACTCCCTCACCAGATCCCTGCCATAAATCACAATGCTGCCCCTCACCACGGCCCTCAGGACTCAGCTGCAGCCTCACCTCATCTCAGAAGCATCTCCAGAATCCACACTCTCCCATTGGATGACCCTTCTCCATGGCCCCTTGCTCTGGGCAGGGCGTCTCCCATAACCTGTGACACCCTAGATCAGCGGTTCTCAACCTTCCTAATGCTGCAACCCCTTAATACAGCTCCTCATGTTGTGGTGACCCCCAACCATAAAATGATTTTCGTTGCTACTCTATAACTGTAATTTTGCTACTGTTATGAATCGTAATGTAAGTATCTTTTTGTTTTCCGATGGTCTTAGGCGACCCCTGTGAAAGGGTCGTTCCACCCCCAAAGGGGTCGCGACCCACAGGTTGAGAACCGCTGCTTTAGAGGATTTATAAGCATAATTTACGCCAGCCATTCAATCCCTCTGAGTTGTTTTCTCCTCTGTGAAATGGAACAATACACACCTCAAAGGATCTGAGAATGATAAGAATGAACACCTAACGAGTAGGCACTGAGCTAGGAGCTTCTTGCACATTATCTCATTTAACCCTCAAGGCACCCAGAGAGGCAGACATTCCTATTTGCCCATCCAATTGAGGAGGACACGGAGCTGAAGCTTCCTGACCCCTGATCAGTGCTCCTGCCTTTCCTGTTTAGTTGCCTCTGGGCTCCACCACATTGTGAATTTTTAGAGGACAGGAATGGTGCCTGTTTTGCACAATTGTGTATCCCTAGCTCCTAGAACTGGGTTTGGCATACAGTAAGTACTTGGTAAATATTGGCTGACTGAAGTAATCCAAGAATGAATAAACCCAGCCAGCAACAGAGCCTGGATCCCAGCTCTTGGCTCTCCATCACCCACTAAGCAGAGTCCTGTGTAAAACGTGCTTAGTACTGGGCCTGGCATACAGTAGGTACTCAGTAGCGTGTAGCTGCTGCTGTTGTTATAAAGAAAGAGGAGGACGGGAGGGGGAGGGGG